TCCCTTCTGCTCTGCAGTACTCCCTCCCACAAGCATCCCCCCACCTTAGTTCATGTCCATGGGTCATACATATAAGTTCTTTGACTTCTACATTTCCTATACTCTTCTTAACCTCCCCCTGTCTATTTTGTACCTACCATTTATACTTTTTATGCCCTGTACCCTTTCCCTCATTCTCCCCACCCTCACTGATAACCATCCATGTGATCTCCATTTCTGTGAATCTGTTCCTGTTCTAGTTGTTTGCTTAGTTTGTTTTTTATTGCTTCTAGGTTCAGTTATTGAGAGTTATGAGTTTGTTGTCATTTTACTGTTCATAGATTTGATCTTCTTTTTCTTAGATAAGTCCCTTTAACATTTCATATACTAAAGGCTTGGTGATGATGAACTCCTTTAACTTGACCTTATCTGGGAAGCACTTCATCTGCACTCCCATTCTAAATGATAACTTTGCTACCTAGAATAATCTTGGATGTAGGTCTTTGGATTTCATGACTTGGAATACTTTTTTCCAGCCCCCTTTTGCCTGTAAGGTTTTTTTCTGAGAAATCAGTCTTATGGGAACTCTTTTGTAGGAACTGTCTTCTTTTCACTTGATGCTTTTGAGATTCCTTATCTTTAATCTTGGGTAATGGAATTATGATGCTCCTTGGTAAGTGCTTCCTTGGATCCAATTTCTTTGGGACTCTCCAGGCTTTCTGGACTTCCTGCAAGTGTATTTTCTTCGCCAGATTGGGGAAGTTTTTCTTCATTATGTTTTTAACTTCTTGCTCTTCCTTTTCTTCTTGTGGCATCCCTGTGCTTCAGATGTTGGAATATTTAAAGTAGTCCTGGAGGTCCCTAAGCCCTCCTCATTTTTTTTTTAATTCTTGTTTATTCATTCTGTTCTGGTTGAATGTTTATTTCTTCCTTCTGGTCCAAACTATTGATCTGAGTCCCAGTTTTCTTCCATTCACTATTGGTTCTCTTTATTTCACTTTTCATAGCCTTTGCTTTTTCCTCTATGTTATGACCATACTCAACCATTTCTGTGAGCATCCTGATGACCAGTGTTTTGAATTCTGCATCTGATAGATTCGCTATCTCTTCATCTCTTAGTTGTATTTTTTCTAGGGCTTTGATCTGTTCTTTCATTTGGGCCATGTTTCTTTGTCTCCATGCACCTGTTTTGTAGTAAGGGGTGGAGCCTTAGGTGTTCACTAGGGCAAGGCAACTCACGTTGCTGTGTTGTGATGCTGTATGTGGGGGAAGGGACAGAGAGGGAACAGTACTGCTTCCTCCACTCTCTGCTGGATTTCAGTTACTTTCCCCACTTTCCACAAGCAAATTGGGCCATTCTGGTGCTGATTACCAGGTTGATGGGTTTGTGTACATTCTAGGACCCTGTGGGTCTCTCCAATGAACTCTCCTGTGAGGCTGGGAATTTCTTCTACCATCTCAACCCCCACAGATTTTTTCAGTCAGAGGTTTGGGAGCTTTATTTCCCTGTACTGGAACCCTAGGTCGTGTGGTCTGTCTCACTCCCCAGTTGTTCCTCCTAGTTTATCCACACACCAATGTAGGACCACCTGCTCTGCAAGCCACCGCCTCACCCAGTCCTCCATCTGCTACCTTGCCTCGAGTCTTCTCCACTCCAGCTGCCCATCTCTAACCCTCCTACCAGTCTGGATGAATGTGTCTTCTTTAACTACTTGGTTGTCTGACTTCCATACAGTTCAATTTTCTGGCCATTCTGGTTATTTTTTGTTTTTAAATTTGTCATTGTCATTCTTTCGGTTGTGTGAGGAGGTAAAGTATATCTACCTACGCCTCCATCTTGGCTGGAAGTCCACAATTTTTTTTCTTTTTTTATCATTTTTTAATTAATGTTCCAGTACAGTTATCTCCATTTTTCCACTATCACTTTCCCCTGCCCCACCCACCCCCACCTCTCACCCTCAATCCTATTCCCCTTTGGCTTTGTCCATGAGTCCTTTCTACATGTTCATTGACGCACCTTTCCCTTCTTTCACCTGTTATTTCCTTCTCCCCCTCTGCTTACTGTCATTTTGTTCTTTTTTTAAATATTTATTTATTTATTTACCTTTTTTAAACATTTTAATTGTTGTTCGAGTACAGTTTTGTCTTTTACTCCCATTCCAGCCCACCCCCACCAGCCCTCCCCACCTCCTTCCCATCTCTACCCCATCCCAGTTTTAGTCCATGTGTCCTTTATACTTTTTTCTGTAAACCCTTTCTCTTTTCCCCTGAAATTTCCTCCCCTCTCCCGTCTGGTCACTGTCAGCCTGTTCTCTATTTCAGTGTCTTTGGTGGTTATATTTTCCTTGTTTGTTTGTTTTGCTCATTAAGTTCCTGTTAAAGGTGAGATCATATGGTATTTTTCTTTCACTGCTTCACTTATTTTGCTTAGCATAATGCTTTCCAGTTCCAGCCATGCTGTTGCAAAGGGTAGGAGCTCCTTCTTTCTTTCTGCTTCATAAATGTACCACGGTTTTTTGGTCCATTTACTGATGAGCACCTAGGTGTTGCTTCCAACACTTGGCTCTTGTAAATTGTGCTGCTATGAAGATTGGGGTGCATAGGTTCTTTTGGATTTGTGTTTCAGGGCTCTTAGGGTATAATCCTAGTAGTAGAATTGCTGGGTCAAGGAAGTTCCATTTTTAGTTTTTTGAGAAAAAAATTTTTTGGGTTTTATCTTTTTAAAAAATATATATATTCTATTGATTATGCCCTTACAGTTGTCTCATTTCCCCCACTTCATTCCCCTCCACCCTGCACACCCCCTCCCTCCCACATTCCCCCAATTCAGTTCATGTCCATGTGTCACAAGTTCTTTAGCTTCTACATTTCCCATACTATTCTTGCCCTCCCCCTGTCTATTTTCTACCTACTGTCTATGCTTCTTATTCTCTATACCTTCTCCCCACTTCTCGTCCTCCCACTCCACTGTTGCTAACCCTCTGTGTGATCTTCATTTCTATGGTTCTGCTTCTGATCTAGCTGTCCTCTTAGTTTGCTTTTGTTTTAGGTGTGGTTGTTAATAACTGTGAGTTTGCTGTCCTTTCACTGTTCATCTTTTTTATCTTCTTTTTGTTAGATAAGTCCCTTTAACATTTCATATAATAAGGGCTTGGTGATGATGAACTCCTTGAACTTGGCCTTATCTGAGAAGTGCTTTATTTGTCCTTCCATTATAAATGACAGCTTTGCTTGGATGGAGCAATCTTGGATGTAGGTCTTTGGATTTCATGACTTGAAATACTTCTTTCCAGCCCCTTCTTGCCTGTAAGGTCTCTTCTGAGAAATCAGCTGACAGTCTGATGGGAACTCCTTTGTAGGTGACTGTCCCCTTAGCTCTTGCTGCTTCTAGAATTCTCTCCTTCATTTTCATCTTGGTTAATGTAATTATGATGTGCCTTGGTGTGTTCCTTCTTGGGTCCAACTTCTTTGGGACTCTCTGAGCTTCCTGGACTTCCTGGAAGTCTATTGCCTTTTCCAGATTGGGGAAGTTCTTCATTATTTGTTCAAATAAGCTTTCCACTTGTTGCTGTTCCTCTTCCCCTTCTGGTACCCCTATAATTTGGATGTTGGAACATTGAAAGATGTCCTGGAGGTTCCTAAGCCTCTCCTCATTTTTTGAATTCTTGTTTCTTCATTTTTTCCTGTATGGTTGTTTCTTTCTTCCTTCTGGTCTACTCCATTGATTTTAGTCCCAGTTTTCTTTCCATCATTATTGGTTCCCTGTGCATTTTGCTTCATTTCATTTAGCGTAGCCTTCATTTTTTCATCTAATTTGTGACTAAAATCAACCAGTTCTGTGAGCATCCTGATCACCAGTGTTTTGAACTGTACATCTGATCGGTTAGCTATTTCTTGGTCACTTAGAAGTATTGGCTCTGGGGCTTTGAGCTGTTCTTCTGCTTGAGCCATAATGTTTTAGTCTGTTGGCACCTGTTACGTATAAGGGGCACAGCCTAGGTGTTCACCAGGGTGCGGCAACTCAGTGGCTGGGTTGTGACACTGTGTGTGGGGGTAGGGTTAGAAGGAGCAGTGGCGCTTGTTACTCTCTCTCTCAAATCTTGATCTACTCTGCCACTTTCCACAAGTGAATTGGGCCCCTCTGGTGCTGGTTCTAGGACCCTGTGGGTTTCTCCAATGAACTCTCCTGTGAGGCTGGGAGCTTCTCTTGGCACCTCAACCTCCGAAAGTTTTTCTAATCAATGCTTTTAGGCTTTAATTTTTGTCTCTGGGGCCCCGGGTTGCACGATCTGTCTCACTGACCATTTTTAAACCTGCCTGGTTTATCTGCATGCGAATGTGTGTCCATGGTCAGCCAGCCGCCTTGCGAGCCTTACTGGATTTTCATCCCTGCATCTGCCAAGGTGCACTAACCACTGCCTTTTCCTGTGGGACCCCTCTCTGCTGGCCACCGACTTCACTCCTCTTACTGGTCTGGATGAATGGTTCGTTGTTGTTGGACTTCGGTACAGTTCAATTTTCTGTCTATTTTGGTTTTGGTTTTATTTCTAAATCTTTGTTGTCCTTAAATTAGGTTGTGCGAGGAGGTACAGTATTTCCACCTATGCCTCCATCTTGGCCAGAAGTCTTTCTGAGGAAATTCCATACTGTTTTCCACAGTGGCTACACCAGTCTGCATTCCCACCAACAATGCACTGGAGTTCCCTTTTCTCCACATCCTCTCTAACATTTGTTTGTTGATTTGTTTATGTTGGCCATTCTGACTGGTGTGAAGTGGTATCTCATTGTGGTTTTAATTTGCATCTCTCTGATGGCTAGTGATGCTGAGCATCCTTTCATATGTCTCTGGGCCCTCTGTATGTCCTCTTTTGAGAAGTGTCTGTTCAAGTCTTTTGTCCAATTTTTAATTGGCTTATTTGTTTTCCTGGAGTGGAGTCATGTGAGTTCTTTTTATATTTTGGAGATAAAACCCTCGTCTGAGATATCATTGGCAATATATTTTCCCCTACAGTTGGTTCCCTTAAAATATGGAAAACTCAATGAATTTGCATGTCATCCTTACACAGGGACCATGCTAATCTTCTCTGTATCATTCCAGTTTTAGTATATGTGCTGCCAAATTGAGCACAAGGCCTCAATTTGTTGTTCCATTTATTTGTGCATTTATTGGTTGCTTCTTTATGTGCCCTGACCTGGAGGTTGAACCCACAATCTTGGTGTATTGGAAGATGATGCTCTAACCAACTGAGCTACCTGCCAGGGTCCCAGACTCATCTTTTAAAGGACCTTACTGAAGACCCGAGGAAATAGCCAACACAGCATGAACACCCTGAGATTCCCCCAACCCCCCTTTTTAAGTGTCTAATTCAATGGTTCTGGATTTTTTTTAACGAATCATTTTACTAATATTACATTTTCCTAATCTGTACCCAGGGTGAAACAGGTAACATTTTAATCAGTTGTTTCAGAACTACATAACAAAGGGACACTGGCTTCCTAACCTGAACTAGTAAGCACCTTATTAGCCACTGTCCCACCTCCTCTGCTCAGCAGTTTCTCATTTCAGGGTCCGTTATAATACCTCCACTTAGAATTACTAATTCAGTATCAGGACATTTGGGACTATGAGTGATCCCAAACAAAAACTCTTGACAGGCATTGAAGAGGTGACATCAGCTGTTCAGCACTGTTGTTAGGAAGCCAGGTTGTTTTGCCTCTCCCTGCCCCAGGCTGGCTTCTCTGCAACAGGCTGTTTGCAGCAGTTCTGGCAGTTCCAGGTAGAGCAGTGTCAGAGGGAACAAAGCCTGTCTTCTGTGTCCCTTAGGAGCAAGACAACCTTTCCAAGAAGCCTCCCTAGCTGACCTCACATCTCAGTGGTCAGAAGCAGGTCACTTGCCCATTCCTAAGCCAATCGCTAACAAACAGCATTGTTTAAAATAATGAGTGTTTCCTTTCCTTAAGCTTGAGATGAGGTCAGCTTCCTATGATGTACATGACTGTGTGGAAAAGGGTAAGTATGCAAAATGTTGGGACTCACTAGAGAAGGAAGAAGAGGAATGGGCAGCCACCCACACCAGATTGTCCAGTATACAAATAGGTCTCATTTAGGAAATTAAGTTAGCTTTTATTAAGTGCCTCCTACATGGTAGACACACTGAGGAATTTGTGTATATTGTTTCATTTAGTCATCACAGCAAACTTGGATGAGCAGGTGATGGAACAGTCTGTACAGTGACTGGGCCCAGAGAGCTGTGCCCTGGCACATAGAGTAGAGCTTGGGTTAAAATTCAAGTGCCATCCCAGATGTGGGGGTGACTTTGCCCTCAAGGCCCCCTGTCCACCACGGATGAAAGTAAACACTACCAAGACATGATCTGCTTGGGGAGGAGAGGTGGCCAATCTCTCAGAGGAGAAAGGCCAGGAGCCCATTTCTCCAGGGGCTTTTATTGGGTTGTAATACACAGGAATACAGGGCAAGAATCAAATAGTAGATGACATTTCAAAGAAATCTGAGGTCTTAGTCTGAGTCAGTGTCTGTCAGGAAAGGGCGTTTGCAGAAATTCTGGGAGACATACTCATTTCCTGCTTGGACCCTTATCATATGAATGAAAACACTCCTAGCAAAGCAGATTTCACAGGATTTTTTAGGAATTCTTTCTAATGCCAGATTTTCCCAGATCTGCTCTAGCAAGGCAAGGAGCTACACCCCTCCCCACCAGCTTTTCAGGCTTAAGTGGATTAGAGCCAGGAAGCGCTTCTCCCACAGGACATGGGGACTCAGGCTTTGTCAGAATAGCGGGGGGGGGGGGGGGGGGGGGATCCATTGTCCCCTCTTTGTTGCAGCCCCCTGAGTCCTTCCATAATGGCCTCCCAAGTGATCGAGTCTGGTTTAAGTTGCCCCCTCTCTGTGAGGAGTCTTATCTGTCATTGACTTCTGAGCATGCTTTGGGGGCAGGGGGAGGAAACTGAGACAGCATTCCCTACCAGAGATAAGCCTTGTCTTCTGTGGCTCAGCATTCCAGAGGTTGCTCACTCATCCTTAGCCATGGGGGGTGGTTACAATTCCTGAAACCAGTCAGAGCGGTCCCCAACACCCAGACCCTATCCTATAAACACTTGGAGCTACACTCTTAAAAAAAAAAAAACCAACCCACATTTGTTAAAAACAGAATGTTCTTAGCTGTGACAATCTTCAAGCAAAATTTTATCCCTGTTTAAAGGGTGTAAACTGCTCTAATTAGACAGGACTGGAATTCTTTCTAAGCTCCTCCCTCCCCCCAGGTAACCGCTAAGGTGCTTTGGGAGCCTCTGAAGCTTCATGAAACATGCTGAAGACACCATCAGCCACATGCAACTCTGGTGCCACTAGGTCCTGGAGCAACTCAGGTATCCTCTGAATCGCATTCATCTCAAAGGGGACTTTAAAGATTACATGCTTGTTTCATAATCAGTGCTTTGGCTCTCTGCCCAGAGAAGCGATGAAACAGCCGTGAAATTTAGATAACCATCCAACTTCATGCGACACCTACCAGGAGGGGGGTCATTGGGTATAGCCAGGGACTTGGGGAGAGACCCTATAGTTCCACTGATTGTATTCAGTCCCTGCAATACCTTCATCCTTCAAGCTCCTTAAAAAAATTTTGTTTCACAGATAGTTACTGAGCAATTCTCCTGGAACTCTAGCTAATGTCATATATAATTCCAGGGGGTTATAACAGAAGCATGATTCTTCACAATTAGATTCCTGCCTTGTCTGTAAAGTCCTACAAATAGTTTGTCATTCCAACTGCCTTGCTTTCTTTTCTGAACCCGTCACTTGCATTCCCATCTGTCTTTGCCTGTGTCAGTCGCCTTGTATAGAACCCTCCCTGCCTGCTTTTGTTTATTAAGTCACACCCATGCTTCACCTCAAGTCCCATTAGGTATGAGATACTCCGCAAATATCCAGGCCAATAAAATGAGCAGAAGCGATACGTGGCATTTCCTTCTCTATCCTGTAAGGGGCCTGGCAGTTTCTTCTTTCAGTTACCATGTTAGCAGTCTGATTGCCCCGAGGCCACCATACTGTGAGGAAGTCCAAACTAGCCGTGTGGAGAGGCACGTAGAGAAGTGCTGATGTACCAGACAAGCGAGTGAAGCCTTCTCAGACCTTCAAGCTCAGTCCGGCCTCTAACTGAATGCAGACAAATGAGTGACTTTAGTTAATGGCACATAAAACAGAACTGCCTGGCAGAGCCCAGTCAGCCTGGAGATAAGAAAGAGTGGTGTTTTGCTGAGCAGCAACAGATAACAAGAGCAAGTAGCATCACAACAGGTCAGTTAGCAAGACTCTTCCCAGATAGGCTGAATCTGAGGCTTGCAGGTGGCATGGGAAAGTGGTGATCTTGGAGAGCTCTGGCAGGCAGCTTACTGGTAGGGGGTAGGGGTAAGCGTTAGGGAAGGGGGCACTGATGCAATAGAAAAAGTGTGCCTCAGCTCCCTATATACTGTTTGTTTATCTTCCCTTTCAGCATAGCTTTTTATTGCTGACCATGTACAGTCCTTCAATTCCAGGTCACATTGTACCTTCCCAAGCTAAACCCTCTAGTCAATTTTGCAAACCCCTTTGTGTGTAAAAATGGGGACACAGATGTAGAACTTGAGGCAGTGCTTGGAACTGTCAGAGAAGCACGGGGAGGTGGGATGCACAAAGAAAAGTGGCTGAATGCCCCCAAATAGCACCTCCTTTGTAGCTTTGCCTGAAAACAGGTTTCCTGTCCCAGAAAAATTTTTCATACTTCATTTAGGAAGCTTTTAATTTACTGATCTAGCATTTCTTAATCACCTTCAGGGCACCAATCAGTCTCTGAGAATTCAAAGATTAAGATACAGTCTTACTTTTGAGATGTTTATCACTGTTTGATGGATGAATTCTGGGGCCATACTATGTTTTGGCATTGTAAAGTTATTTAAACATTTCCCTAGAAGAACTACACCACCTGGTAAAAAAGAATTCATTTTACCCCTTTAAGTCTTTGGGAGAAAAAAATCCTGATTTGTTTATTTACTTATTTATCCACTTGTCCCCCCCCCCCCTTCCCAGGTCCTTTCAAACCTCAACTCCACCCTATCCTGCTTGCTTCCATGTCTAGATATAATTTTCTAGATATCATTTTTGTCATGTAATTTACTCAGCTTGAACTTGATTGGTGACTGATGGCCCATGGTCTGCTTCTGTGATGGATCTGAACCAGTGATTTCAAAGCTCCAAAATGGGCCCCCAGAAATCATTACACCACTCACTTTTCCAAAAACAGTGATAAATTCAAACCACAAATCGCTGTACTAGCCCCGTGACTTGACCCTCTTACACTTGATAGACACCTGTCAAAATTTGATTCCACTGAGTATCTGCCCAATTTTTATGTAAGTTGTGTTTTCTCTCATATTAATTTTACAAATAACAAGGGTCAAACTCTTAAAACTTCTTATAAAGAATAAAGTGGATCCAGCCCTAGAAAGTTAGGGGCAAGGAGCTAAAGAGTTTAAATCAGGCAGCTTCAGAATAATGAAATAATTAAAGCCAATAGTGAATAAAATGGCTCAGCTCACGTGTTAGTAGTGAGTTTTCTACTCATTGAAAAAGATATTTGTACACAGTGAAAATGGTATGGCTCTAAAATTCCCAGCACCAGTTATTTAAATTCCTACCCTTTGCTTTTGATGAAACCATCTAAATTGGCAACACAAAGAAGTTAAGAAGAAAGGACACTTTGAGAGCTTCTAGCAATCATGAATTGATTGCTATGCCCTGCCTCACAAATGCTTATGACGGCTGCCTGGCTACCCCTGGCTGTGTGATTGGGCAGCTGATGCCAGTTTACAGACAGCGACTACTACTCCCCACCCCGCCCCCTCCCCATCCTAAATTCCATCCAAACTCTGGCATTAATTGAGCCATGAGCCTTGGGCAAGTCAGCTTCTCTGGGCCTCAATTTTCTCATTTAAAAAATGAGGAGGTAGGAATAGGCCCATGATTTTATTAAAAAATTTTTTATAAACAGCAAAGAAAGAAAAAGAAGAACAATTCAGCACAAGAGCAAGTTTGTACCAGGCATACCTGCCAAAACCTGCTGCTTGTGGCTTCTCACACGGAAACCTCACAAGAAATTCTCTAAAACTGTGATCTGATCCAGCTTTAGGCAATATTTTTTTCTCCTTTTAGAGAAGCTGAGCTCAACCACTTGGGACTCCGCATTCCTGTTCTTTATCCTCTTGTTTTTTTTTGTTTTGTTTTGTTTTATGTGTGTGTGTCCATTTCTTTCAGTGATTTTTTTACTGCATTTTTAATTGAAAATAGACATTTTATTTTGTTTATACAAGGTACAATTTCAAAATAGAGGTCATATAATATGTAGATGTAATAGATAAGGGAATATAAATATAAAGGCATATATACAGAAAATGTCACTGAGTTCAGTTTTCTTTCTGAATCCTTAAATCGGGAAGATTCACTGGGCACAATATCTCTTCCCTCCCTTTCAGTAAATGCAGAGCACCGAACTGGGGAGAGTTTTAGGAGCTGAAAACCTGATGCCCAATCCTTATAGATTTTTCCCAAGCCAGAGGAGCCTCCTAAATTCACTTAGAGCCTCAGGCATATTTCTTTTCTTTGTAAAGTGCAAGCCAAGAGGAGGGACAGAAGAAAGAGTCAAGCTGATAAGCTATCCTGAGTAAATGTCATAGTGAAATAAAAGCCCTGATAGGAAGACCTGAGGCCTTCAAGCTGAGACTTTGGTAACTTGGTCCTATATCTGAGGCAGGGCCTGGCATGCGGTTTTTTTGTGCTAAGCCTGGAGAACTTACTCATCCAGGCAGTGTCTAGGGTAGGCACAGTTGATAAATGATAGCCAATCGTTTTGGCATCCTCGCAGCTTTTCCCTGGTGCCCAACATCTTGAGTCTTTTCTAGGTTCCCTCTGGCCAGAGCAGAATCGGTGCCCTTGCTCAAGCCCTTGCTGGCCCCGCGCTGGCCCCTGGGGTTTCCTAGGCTGTGTGGTGGTTTTCTGCGTCCTCCTCTCTGCCATCGGTTCCCCCAGTCATTGGCGTATCTTCCATATTTTCCATTTGAACACTGGGTGTCCAGGAATTTTGCCTGTAAAGCAGATAATAGACAGGTTTTAAAAAGAGGACTTGCCCTCAAATGAAGTAAACAGATAGTCCCTGTTGAACATTCAAATGGAGAAAACTCCATTTGCAGATGCTATTTAAATCATATTTGGGTATTTTTAATCTCCTCACCCACCAGAGTTCCCAGTCCTGTTGGAGCAGCTCCCCTCACTTTGCCAACTCTCTGCTAAAAAGGGGTAGTTCAGACAGTGAGAACTAGGGGAGAGAGACTAGGAGCCCGGCCAAGTCCCAGGTGATAATCCTGATAAAAATGATGTAATGTTTTGGCACTTACTGTTAAATAGTTAAACAAACAACTACACTGATCAGTTTCTGAGTAACCAAGAGATGGGGAGGCATAACACTTTAATTCCATATTCCTGCCATGTTTTTTAGGCCATGAGTATCTGAGTCAGTGATTTCTTTCCTGGACTATTGAATCCACCTCCTGTGGATAAGCACTTTTTAGGACATTTAAAAATAAACACTTTGAGCTTCTTGGAGATTAACTAATTCTCAAAAATATATTTATGAATATTTCTCTAACACAGTCTGTAAATATTCATATTTCCTCTTAGAGTATATTTATTGGCCATATATACCACATTTTCAATTTTTTAAAGAATATACTTTTAATGTATTATTCTTTTAAAATAGTGTGCGTATATATTTTTAATATAGTCAATGAATATAGTCATTACAATTTCTTAAGAGTGTAACTGCAAATACAGCATTTTATATGGAAATTATTATAATGACATTTAAAAAATCCTTTTAAAAATCATATTTTGCCAACATTTTAACATTTTTTTGTTGTTTTGACAAGTGTTCAAGTAATACATCATCTTTAGTTTGTTACTTTCTAAACTGTGAGGTTTATGTCACTTCTTGTTGGTTGCAATAGTATTGCCAGAGTTTGAAGATTTATATAAATTTTTTGCAATGTTTTCATTTTGGCTTTACAGTAGCATTTCATGAAATGTTCCTTTTTTTCAAAGTTAGGCTCAAAGGGCGGTATAGTTTTTATATGGATACGATATTTAGAAAAGAATTTTTTTACTAGTAACTAAAAGTTTATTTCCAACAAATCTGATATCCATTCATTGTGTAAAGCTGAGGAAGGATCCAGAGCACCACATTCATATGGGGTGATGAAATGCCGATTACTGATTGATAGAAGTATAAAATTAGGCTAATATATTATTTAAAGCTTTAATGAAAGAATGATGAAAATGACTGAAGACTAGAAAAGTAGTAAAATCTGAAATTCAGCAAGTGGCAGAAACAATCTGGTCACAAATGCTGACATGTCAAATTTCAATTATTACAAATATAATAAAAGTAAGGCTGACATGAAGGAGTATATTTATAAAAAGTTACATCCATATTTAATGTGTGTTCAAGAAGAATATATTCATGACTATATGATAAGAATTGATACAAATCACATGTATATCAAATCGGCTATTTGACACAGCCCATCCTTCTAAGTTGGCACTCAGTAAAACTGGCCCCATGTCATCAGCCAGGTTCTGGTGGCCCCATTTCTGATGAGTGGCCTGCTTTGGAGAGTGAAGGGATCTCTAGGACTGGCTCAGTGACTCCTCAGCTCCAATACTCCTTCTGGGCAACACAGAAGGGGGTGATGACAGTGAGAGCCTGCATCTCTAGCCAGGAATGGGCCAGAGCCATGGTAATGAAGCTCTCTTCTCGGAGGAACAGAAGAATCTTATCAAGTGTGATTCTCCTGTGCCACTCACCTGGATTTTTTGCAGTGACGTACTAGAAGAAATGCCACACACACTCCACAAATCACAAGGACAGGTATGGATACTGCCACTGTAAAAGAATAGAACTGAGCTGGTACCGTGCTAAAAGTTCAGGTAGCAGATTCATTTTTAAGAATCTAAAAATTCTTTACAATTTATGTTCCTGAAGAGAGATCCAAACACCTCCCCAACCAGCTTACTATTGTCAACATTTCTTAAGGTCTATGAAATCCAACCTATTCTACATTTGGGCAAAAAGTTCACTTCTTTCCCACCGACACTGCCAGTTCAAACTGTCCCCATTCATCTTATCCCCTGTCCCCTGCTACTAATCCTCATGCTTCCTGAGCTGAGTGACATGGCGATGGGTAAGGACAGGAGTAAGTCAGGAGGGGATCAGAAGCTGAAGTGGACACATGAGGATGAGAGGCTAGCACTTTGTGAGAGGAAATGCTTGCTGCTAACTCCAAAGTCAGGAAAATAACAGACATGCCAAGGGTCATTCTTGGTTGTCCTTTGACATGACTTCCCCCTCTTCTGCAGCTTTGCAGAAACCTGAAATGATAGCTTGATCAGAGACTTCCGCCCATGATGGAGGTATAGGTAGACACACTGTGCCTCCTCGCACAACCAAAATAAGGACAACAACAATTTAGAAACAAAAAAAAAAATCAGTACTGACAGAACATGGAACTGTATGGAAGTCTGACAACCAAGGAGCTAAAATAGACACATTCATCCAAACTGGTAGGAGGGGCAGAGTTAGGGAGCCAGGGTGAAGAGGGGTAGCAGCAAAGCGGTGGCTGGCAGACCCCGGGCATGCAGGCAGCATCTGGTGGACCCAGCAAGGCGGCGGGTTATGGAGGGGGGCTTAGTGCACAAGGCAGCTGGTGGACTGGGTGGTCCCACATTCATATGCAGATAAATCAGGTGAAACTGGGGAGCGAGACAAACCACACAACCCAGGGTCCCAGTGCTGAGAAATAAAGTCTCAAAACACCAACTGAAAACACCTGTGGGGGTTGAAGTGGTGGGAGAAACTATCAGCTTCACGGGAGTTTGTTGGAGAGACTCACAGGGTCCTAGAATGTACACAAGCCCACCCACCCAGGAATCAGCACCAGAAGGGCCCAATAGGCTTGGGGGAAGAGGGGGAAGTGACTGAAATCTGGCAGAGAGTGGACCAAGTGCCATTGTTCCCTCTCAGACCCCTGCCCCACACACAGCATCACAATCCAGAGACTGACTTGTCCTGCCCTGGTGAACACCTAAGGCTCCACCCCTCACTACATAACAGGTGTGGCAAGACAAAAAAAAAAAAATGGCCCAAATGAAAGAACAGATAAAAGCTCTGAAAAAAGTACAACTAATCGACGAAGAGATAGCCAACCTATCAGATGCACAGTTCAAAACACTGGTGATCAGGATGCTCACAGAACTGGTTGAATTTGGTGGCAAATTAGATGAAAAAATGAAGGCTATACTAAGTGAATAAAGGAAAATGTACAGGGAATCAGTAATGATAGGAAGGAAACTGGGACTCAAATCAATGATGTGGACCAGAAGGAAGAAAGAAACATCCAATTGGAAAAGAATAAAGAAACAAGAATTAAAAAAAATGAGGAGAGGCTTAGGAACCTCCAGGACATCTTCAAATATTCCAACATCTGAATTATAGGGGTACCAGAAGGAAAAGGGGAAGAGCAACAAGTGGTAAAGTTATTTAAACAAATAATAAAGGATAACTTCCCCAATCTGGCAAAGGCAATAGACTTCCAGGAAGTCCAGGAAGCTCAGAGTCCCAAAGAAGGTGGACCCAAGGAGAAACACATCAAGGCACATTATAATTACATTAGCCAAGATTAAAATGAAGGAGAGAATCCTCGAAGCAGCAAGAGCTAAGGGGACAGTCACCTACAAAGGAGTTCCCATCAGACTGTCAGCGGATTTCTCAAAAGAGACCTTGCAGGCAAGAAAGGGCTGGAAAGAAGTATTCCAAGTCATGAAATCCAAAGACCTACATCCAAGATTGCTCTATCCAGCAAAGCTTTTGTTTAGAATGGAAGGGCAGATAAGTACTTCTCAGATAAGGCCAAGTTCAAGGAGTTCATCATCACTAAGCCCTTATTATATAATATGTTAAAAGGACTTATCTAAGAAAAAGAAGATAAAAAACATGTATAGTAGAACGGCAGCAAACTCACAATTATTAACAACCACACCTAAAACAAAAATGAAAACAAACTAAGCAAACAACTAGAACAGGAACAGAACCACAGAAATGAAGATCACATGGAGGGTTAGCAACAGGGGAGTGGGAGGAGGAGAGAGAGGGAAAATGTACAGGGAATAAGTAGCATAAATGGTAGGTAGAAAATAGACAGGGGGAGGGAAAGAATAGTTAGGAAATGTAGAAGCTAAAGAACTTGTAAGTAAGGCAAATGGACATGAACTAAAGGCGAGGAGTGTGGGTGGGGGAGTGCAGGGTGGAGGGGAGTGAAGGGGGGAAAATGGGACAACTGTAATAGCAAAATCAATAAAATATATTTAAAAATAATAAAATGAAATCAAGAATGAACTGCAAATAAAAGGCTAGAACCAAAGGGAAAAAATAGAAATGATAGTTTACAGTGCCATTTGTCTTCCAATTTCATTATCATTATTTATTTATTTGCTACTTTTTATGACAGAGAAAGGGTGATAAGGAGAAAGAAGAAGTGTTATAAGAAAACTCCTAGAGATGAGAGGAGAATAAGGTCATGTTTAAGAAAAGGAACAAAACATGTGGACTAAGTTGTAAGGAACAGTACAAAGGGGTGAAAGGAGTTAAGGGTGGAAGGCCAGCAGCAATGACAGCTTATGCTTTATTAGATCTGAACAGTGGGATCTTTGTGTGGAAGCAAAAGGCTTATCCTGTGGGCAGGGCAAGCATAACTATTTTTAAAACACTTGTGTCAATAATAAGCTCCAAGCCAATTTGTCTTAATGTTATGAAATCTCCCTGCAAAAATCACCTAGCTGCCCCACTTGCAAGATGAAAGCCCTGAACATCTGGACAGCTGGCTGTCTCATTGGGGACCATGAGTCACTCCTGTCTCCTAGACTATTAAGCTTTTTGGACCTGTGCCTATTCAACCAAAACATAACTTTGTAGGCAAGAGGAATATCCCATGGCTCAGCCTTCAATATACAACCCTCTTGAAAAACAGCTAAATACACAGATGTGGGGCAATACCCAGCTTCTCTCCAGGGCAGGAGTGTAAATGCATGCAGTTTTTCTCAAGGGGACTCGGCAGCATAACAAAAGCTTTAGAGAAGACCATCCCCTTTGACTCTCTAATTCTGCTTTTAGGAATTCTAAGGACATGGGAAGGACCATATTTTGCCATATATGATGCACACCTACATTTTGGCCCACACTTTCAGGAAAAAAATCTTTTATTTCAATTTTTTAATTCAATTATTTATTTATTTATATTTAGAAACCAAATTGTATTCCAGGGTATTGTTTTGCATACAGATATCATTATGGCTTTTTAAAGTTACACTTTTAATGCATCAGCATAAATAAAGGAATTAAAAACATTTATATAATGCAGAATTAGTAATACCCATATACAACGTGCACATTTATTTTTCCCTCAGAAATTTGGGCAAAACTTTACAACTTTACACGTCTTCCAAACTATTTGCAGTAAAAGTAAGCATAGAGAACTTGTTTCAAAAGAAGGAACAGAAAACGTGGGAAATTGGTGACAGATGTTTTGAGTTTTCAAACTTCATATTACTCATCAATAGGAGTAAAAGTCAGAACTGTGTTATTAGCAAACATATTGCAGACTATGGTAAGCTATTTCTTCACACTGACTGACTAATCAGCTTGGCGTGCATTTACTGTTTATAGAGAGACTTATTGGAAAAGGCAACTCAATGTAAACAATAGTTGTATTTCACAATGCTTCTTCCCATTTCCTTTCAGCGAGAATAAAAACTGCAGACTCAAACTCAAGTGAGAAGAGGTCTCCTGAGCCAGTGATCCAAACAAAGCAGTTTGAATTTAGTGAACTAAACTCAAATGCTTGGCGTCTTCCTGAGTTAGAACAGACGAGTTTAGTAGAGAAATTGAAACCAGAATCACTGAAACAATGGACTAAAATATCATCTGCCACAGTTCTCCACCCTTTTGTGTTTCCTCGGGGTTGAGGAGTGGTACACGGGTTATAGAAAAGGAAGTGAAAGAGATTTGGTGAGATGGAGGACTGAGAGGAGGATTAGACTCTGGGAGAGGGAGGAGGAAAATGGATTATTGCACGGGGAGGCCAGGAAGGTCAGTGCTGCTGCCTCGAGTTCAACCTACTGTGCACGTTGGGTCTGAGGCTGCGAGGCGGCCTAGATAGCCAGTGGCCACTATTCCACGTGGATGATGAAAGGTCCTTTGTGAATATACGGGGAATTGCAATTCCTTAGCAGTACCTGCAAACTAGGTCATTCAGGGAATAGTACCCATTTCTGATGTTGCTGTGCCCAGGATCCTTGTGTGTTTGTATTTGATGAGGGCAATTTTGAATAAGAATGTCAATCCATTATGCCTGGTCACTTTTCCTAGTTTCTTTCCTATCTCTTACTATACTGAGAACATTTTAAGTGTTGGGGTCAGAGTAGATAACCAATATTTAATTGATTGAATTAAATCATTAACATTCCATATGTGGAAGTATGCACATTTCAAGTACTATTTACACTTGACTTGGGGAGGTGAACACACAGCATACAGATGACGTGTTGTGGGACTGTGCACCTGATACCTGTAATTTTGTTAATGAGTCACCCCAATAAATTCAATAAAAAGGAAAAAACTTTTCCTTTAAAAATTTTTTTAAATGTTTTCAAAAATTAAGTGCTATTTAGTTTTTAATGAGAAGTCTGCATTTCATTGCAGTTTAGGACAGTATCTGGCACAAAATAGGATCTCAGTTTACATTGACTGAACAGATGAACAACAGAGACGTAGCTCCTGCGGAAGACGGAGCAGACTGAGCACAGCGAGCTTATTTCAGATGTGCCAGACTATAGCTGTAATGCATTCAGGAAAGTGAACCCCTACTCCCAGTGTACTAAATTACTATGGCTATGTGGACCCTGTTATAGGTAACAGTTTTGACCTTTTATTTTACAATTGAGACCCTTCAAGAATACCGTAGTCAAGAATCAGAGACCAGATACTGGAATTATTGAATAAAGATACGGATGAAAAGGGCTGCCAAGGGAGGCAGTAGATATTTAAGACAATGAAATGATGAGTCACACTTTAATATTTATTTAAAGGTTAAAGCCCTCAAATTCACTTACCAATTTGTGCATTTTTTCAATATTTATTCAGCATCTACTACTTACCATTTTCTATAGAACTAAAAATAGCAACTTTAAAAGTTGCGATATCTTTTATAAACTAATTTTTAAAAAAGTTATGGTATTGGTAGTATCAATGGGCTGATTAAAATGTTAAGTGAACATTGACTAGGCGACCACTATAGTAAAGCATCATTTATATTTCCTTACAAAGGTGAACTCAACTGATTGCTTATTCATGTAGAAATAGCAACACCCACTGATGCCTAGGGCACCAGTGAGTACATCTGTCGCTGGTAACTGTCCTGGGCATATTCTTAGGTCTCAGGTGCCTGCAATTGTATGTGACATACTTTGAATGTATTATCTTATTTAGAAAATAAGCATGCTATTCATTTTAGCATATACCTTCTTAGGAGATGAAACTCAAATAGTACAAATGAAATATATCTAGTTTTCGTCTCCTTGCTGAAATTACTTGCTCTGTCCTGTAATTGTTAACATGCTATCTTTATATTTTAAGGGGCCTGAAAGAAGACATTCTTATTCATATAATATGAAAGGTTTAAAGCTATTTTTTCTTTTAAATCTCTGTATTTTAACAGTTCCTTGCACATAGGTATCTTTGTCTATTGTACATGTTTAGTTAATGTTTATTATATTACATTTCAGAATTTAGGAGTGACTTTCCCATAGTTTAACCCAGTGAAAGATACAAATTAGGAAAAAATATATTCTAGATTTATAGCCCAATAAAGTAGTTTGAAAATCTATATAGAAAATATGGCCCCCAAATTTTATATGTAGGATTTTATCCTATAGCTATACTTGCACATATGCAGAACAATACAAGGTTTTCCAACACATCATTGTTTGTAACATAGCCAAAGAATGTAAGCAATCACATGTCCAAATAAGGTTTGGCTGAATAAATTCATGCTATAGAATATTTTGAAGCTATTAAAAAGCATAACATGGTTTTATGTGTTGATATAGAAGGATCTCCAAGATATACTACCAAGTGAAATAACAGTGACAATAACGTACCTAACTGGCCAGCATTATTCATCCTCTGTGTGTGGTTACATCCTGACTTTCTCTGAAAAGGCCCACAGAAATCTGGGAATGGGATTTTCTTCCTTCCAGCAAGGGGATTTTTAGACATAGGGCTTACTTTTTACTATATATATCTTTTTGTAATTAAAAATATTTAAACCATGTGCATATATTACCAATTTTAAAAAATGAATAAGAATTTTAAAACTGTAGAAAGGTTAATGTAGAATGTGACACAAAAAGAAAAATTAGCTAGGCTTCTTTATTTATTGGTCTCCTCTTAAATGATAAACAAATTCTTGTTTCCACGTCCTTGTTATTAAACACCATAGTTTCCCTATGAAAATACAAGGAGCCTTTCTAAAATGTCTTGCCTTTTTTCAAAAGCTATTTTAATCAACTAACTGCTGAAATGACCAAAACCATGTGATCATTTCCCAGATGACACTAGTGCAGATAAAATGTAAGCACAAAAATATGAGTCCTTTTCTAGCAGGAAAACTTGGAAATCAGAAAAAAAATCATTTTTGCCCATGTGAATTAGTAGTTTTTTTGGTTCACCTGAAAACCTGTCAGACAAAAGTATTAGATCCTTTCTTACTACTTGCATTTCTCTCTTTTTGCTTCTGTTTCTCTTTTCCTATCCTCTCTTCTCTGAGCTCTCTTCTCCTCCTTTTATCTTTTTCTTTCATTCTTGGTAACACTTTTCAACTTTCCCACTTATATTTCCTGAGACATTCTCTCTCTCCTAGCCTTACTGGTCTATTGTCTTCTGTAAAAAGAAGCCTTGTAGCCTGAGAAATCTGAACAGTCTGGCTGTACGTACGTTGTGCTGGCACTCTGGGAGACTAGTGCAACCTACGTGTCGGCAGGACAGCCTCTCAATGAAGCCAACACTCATTTGTGGTTCCTAATAATTCTGGACAGAAATCTGGCCCTGCTTAGCAGAACTGAATTGCCGAATAGGCCCTTTTCATGATGTGTCCACTTTCTGGTTTCCACATCAGGAGCCTGACAATGGGAAGGTACCAAGATAAAGAGAGTGATGTCAAATAAAGAATTCCATAAATAGGGGGATCATGTAACTTAGTCTCTAAACTGAGACACTTTGGAGAGTGAAAGGAAATGCTAGCAGGGATCATGCAGGGAGAGCAGGCACAAAGCAGGGCTGTCCAGCTTCCTGGGACCGCGGTCCTCTGAGCATCAGCACTGCCATGACAAAGGTACTTACCAGTGACGGCCGTGGAACTGTACGCATATGCACCTGCAGAGAAGAGATTGCAGCTCAGTTATGAATGTAGTCCTAAAGGCACTGTGCTCATTAAGCAGGAGAAATTCTGGACAATTTGGTTCCCATTTTAAAGCCATGAGAAATTCATGGCTGGCAAAGCCAAACTCATCTTAGCAAAAAACAAGCAAGGTAATTATTTATTTTAGATGCTGGGCCACACTTATGAATCAGATATGCCCTTACAAGTAATGGGGGGGAATAGGGGTAATTGTAATTGAACAACAATAAAAAATTTTAATGAAAAAAAAATAGGATCAGATATGCCCTTACAAAAGATACAAATTACCGAGAGCTCCTCCATCCTGTAGATTGTGACTCCAGATGGTGGAAAGCTTCCTCTGTCCTCCCATAATGCAAGGAGGCAGATATTATTCAGATTCTTGGCAAATCAGGTTAATACAGTGAGCTTTGTCACACATGGGAGATGGACTTTCTTTTTTCACCAGACTGAGCCAGGATGAAGCACAAAAAATAGAGACCAGAGCAAGAAGGCTGTAGCAAACAGAAAGCAGGTGGCAGAGGGTTGCTAAGTTGTCCTGATTTGGGTGGTATAATATCATGCAGGCAAAGAGCTGACCACTCCTAAAGCATGCAAAGCCAATGCTAACCTGGCTTCTCCTCAGAGGCAGAGAGAGTGTGTTCTAAGGCCTTTGCTGTTGTTTGAGATTGGTCTTGGGAGGGCTCATTCCCAGTGATCTCTGTGGTTTCTGCAGAAGGAGGTTTTGGTGTCATCAGCCTGGAGCCCGGTGTAGTACCTGGCTTTGTGGCCATTGTGGTGAAAGCTGGCTCTGTAGGAAGGTGCAACACATGGGGAACACCAATGTTTAGTAATAGTCACTTTCTCGGCTCCAGAACCGAGTGAACTTAATACCTGTTGTAACTGAGCCCACCCTGGGCCAGGCCTCCCCTAGCACATCTTCCATGGCTCTTTATGAAAATCCCTTAATGACCACAGACTTTTGAGAATGCTAGAGAATTTATAGTGATATATCATAGTGCACGTTAGTTAACTATCTCAAAGATTAGAGTAGAGCCAGGCTTGTTTACTAGTGGAGATTGAGCTCAAGAAAACAAGTGATACAGTATTTGCCAGAGACATCTGGGATGCAGGTTTTAGATTCTTTTACACATGTTTTCACAAAACTTCTAAATAAGGGGAAGCCTGATATCAGGTCATCTCAACTATAGAGTGTATCTGAAGAATGTCTGGCTTTGCCCCAATCTCAGCATCTTTGGCTGTTTGACCACACTGTTTGGGCCACTTTCCCATGCGCTTCCAGCCACAGATGCTGTGAGAAGTTATCATGCCTTGTAGTCCTTTTTCACTTCCTCATACTTCCCAGGCTGCAAGCGCACCAGGTACTTTGCAGATGGAGTTCCCCCAGAGCCATCTCATCCAAGTTCCCATTGCCGTGTCACTCCGCATCAAAGATGACACCCTCACACCTGAGATTTCAACCATGCAGTTTCATCTGATCAAGTGTTTGGCACACGAAGGCAGGACAAGAAGAGGCCACTTAATTATTCTTATCAATTGGGTTAATCAGATGTGACTCTGATCAAAGGAGCTTTAGAATTACCCTGAACTTAAATATAGCCAGTACCTCAACCTCTTCCTTCTGTTTGTAACCAACTAACCAGGAGGGAACTTTCTCTGGCCCTCTACCCTCCCTTTAGCACTGGTTTTCTGCCTTGGCTACCTAAGAATCACCTGCAGAGCCTCTAGAATTCTGATTCCCAGATGGCTCTCCAGAGTTCCAAGGTGATCTCAGTGGACAGCCAAGTTTAGGAACCAGTGCCCTCGGGAAGGCATGTCAAGCAGGACAGGATGGCTGTGCCTGGAGGGGAGAAGACAAGGGCCAGGAAAAGCCACAACCTGGATAATGGGACACAAACGGTCAAGAGTTAAGTGTAAAGTGAGGGTATCATAGGATACGGGGCACATTGTCCCAATGACATTTAGCACCCAAGATTTTGAATTTTCTTAACATTGGGACTGTGCTGAGGAAATTGGGATTGATGATTGGTTAAGACTCAGTGGAAATCTGGGACACTGGCAGCTCTGTGCAATGCTTCTACAGTAGAGCCATCATAGTTAATTTGCTGATGTTCGGGATTGTTGGGAGGCAATTCCGCGGGGGTCTCTCATATTTCTGAGAGCCATTTCTTTCTTTATTAACCCTTACAGAGCCCCTCGTAGGACCAGAACTCATGCACTGTTTTCTGTTGTTGATTTAAAATAAATTATTTATAATTGACGTACAGTATTAATTTCAGGTGCACAACACAGCGATTCAACATTTACCTAGTTTAGAAAGTGATGGCCACAACAAGTCTCTGATGCAGCAGTGTCGCATCTTCTGCCAGTACCCCTGGAACTGTGGGGGGCTAGCACGTGAGGCAGGCAACATCCCAGGCCCTCCCCAGTTTTGACGAGGGTAGCAGTCTACAATTAAGTTAGATCTGATGTAGTAAGAGTGGATTTCAAACCTTATTAATCATGCACATATAAAACCTGGATATCAAGCACCTTTGATTTAAAATGGAAAATGAAGCTAAAGTTAAGTTTTTGTTCTTGACTTTAATAAAATGTTTCCTATTACATAAATTCATAGTGGAACTCCAGCAGTGGTCCATGAATCTGAGGGCTGTGTGGGCACCTGAGTGTTAAAAGAGAATAAAAGTCCTTAAAAGATTTCCAACATTCCTACCTTTTCCAGAAGGGGAGGGGCTGTCTGGCTCTGGGGTCACCCCTGCCGGAGCTACTGTGGAGGGTGGCCTTGGGCGAGTCAGGGAGGGGTCTCCTAGAGAGAGGACAACCACAGGGCATTTAAGCTCTTGAGGGTGGAACCTGGGGTGGCTTCAGAACTGGATTTAAATAAAAAATAGGTGTATGTATTTAAAATAGATATCTCTGGCTTCCTAGGCTAGATCAGAAGCATAAGAAATAAACTACACTCAGTGTTTCCCAACCTGCAGTTCTCATGCAAATACAAACACAGGCTGCAAACACAGCAGGCAGCAGGTACACCAGCATGTCTGCATCAATTCCCTCATCCCCAGGCACCCCAGGGGCAACATGTTTAGACCTAAACAGATACATCCAGCAGGCTGCATCACGGCAGAGGAAGTCTGAGCTCAGGGGATCTGAGTCTTTTATTAATGGCATCACCATGTCTGCCTTTTTCCCAGAAGGAGAAGGAGATGGAGATGCTATCTCCATCTTCCAAGGGTATATATTTAAGCATCCTTGAAAAGATAGTCCAGGGAAAGGGTCTGTCAGTCTTTTGCATAGAGGAGGAGGCTTCCTCCTTGCCCTGCCTTTGACAGTAACACAAAGAGACCAGGAAGGGCCGCCAGGTGTTCTAAACACTATGAATTCAGTGAGGAAATCTGACTCTCCAAGGAGTCCTTCCACAGAATGAGTTTGCTATGGAACAACCTCCTCTGGTCAGCTCCCCCCACAGAAAGGATGAAAATTTTCACAAATGTTATATGAGAAAGTATCTAGCTCGCTGTTGGACATATACCAAGTGAGCAATAAATGTTAAATCAGAATTCTCTTGGAAGACTGTGGGTTCATCTTTATTTTTCTAGAGTAAAGGGATTAGTATTTCCGGACATGGCACAATTTGGCTTCCACAGCAAGATTATTCAGCTCCTTCTGGCATGGTTATTCAGTTGGAGATGGTTTTAAAAAATTGATTCTGGCAGCTTTCCCTCCCATTTTCTCTGGAGCACTGACTCAGACTTGGGTGACTGAGTAAAGGGAATCTGTGCCCTATGTGTCTCCCCAGTCTCCTGGGGTAGATACCCATGGAGAAGAATGGCAATCATTTTCCTGCAGGCTCTTTCCTAGGGAGAAATTGGAAAAGTTCTCTGGGAAGCAAGCATGCTTGAGCACACACCCTTGTCCGTAACCAAATTCTTGCTACCATAATCTTAAACCATCGATGGTAATAATAGTTAATATTTACCAGGTTTCACTTAATTCTCCTACAAGCCACAATATTGACATCAGGCCCATTTTTTAGATGAGAAACCTAGAGTGCCAAGGTGTTAAGGCCCTTGCCCAAGGTCTCATAGATTTAAGTAAGTGGCAGAGCCAAGATCTGACCCCAGAATTGTGTGAGCCCCCTTCTCCCCACCAAAGCCCATGTATTTCACCTCCAGGAGGTGTTCAGAGGCCCCCTGGTTTATTTAGCCTTCAGCCTCAACACAAATCTCTTGGCCTCTCAGATGGGCTCACTTAGTGACCCATATTGCTGCACTACTGTCTGTGTGCCCTTGGCAAGTGTGGAGGGGATGGATAGGGCAGGGATGGCTACTTACTGATGCACTTGAGACTTGGAATTGTCCACTGGGTAATGTTTGTATCCTCGTTACGCAGGCACTTAGTCAGGCTGGATGTCCCAGCTTTACGCTTGAAACCAAAGTTACAAATGTACCGTTCCCTGGAGTTCTCATTGTAACTCTTGACCTGGATGTTTGCATGTTCAACAGATATGGGGGTAGAGCACGTGGCACCTGCAAAAGTACAGATATGAGGGGAGAGATAAACACATTTCAGCCTGTTCAGAAGCCTCCCAGAAACCCTGCCATCCAGCATAGCTAGAGAGAGAGGCGTTATCAATGAAAACCTCCTTTGCCTCACCCTCCACTTCCCACGCGTCCCCAACCTCAGTCTCTCTAAAAGGTATCCATCTCTGTCTTTCTCTTCTCTCCTCATCCACACCAAGCCTCTGAGCTCTCTTGCCTAAAGAAACACCAGTATCCTCCAGGCAGCCAGCATCATCTTCAGAAATGTGTATCTCATGGCCTCACTCTTACCTGACTTTCCCTTGCTCTTAGAATAAAAATTAAAATACTTAAGTTTTCCAGAATCTGCCAGAACTGGCCCTGCCTGCTCACTAGCTACTCTTCTCTGGCCACATGAGCCTTTGGTCCCCCCATGCCAGTCACTAGGCCTCCCATCCTCCTCTCAGCCCACTCCTAGCTGGCCATCTGCCGTCCTTCCTCAGGAAAGTCTTCCCTCACCCCCACAGTCAGTTAGGTCACATAGTTCTGTGTTATTTCCCCATGTAGTTGTTTTATGGTTGCTTTTAAGATATTGAGGTGATGTAATGAATATATGTCTCACCATCTGCACTGCAAGCCAGGGAGGATAGGGGTCATGTCTGTTTTGTCAACATTGTATTCTCTGAGCCTACTGCAGTGCTTGGCAGGAGCAGGTGCTCAAGAAATAGTTGTTCAAATAATGAACGGATGAACTCTCTTCCTCAACTTAAGTCTGACCTAGTAAAAGAGGCAAGATGAGTTTCCCCAGATGGCTCTACTTTGTGAAAGCTGGAATTAAACTCTGACTCCAAAACTTCAGCTAAAAATCCTGGCAATGGGACTCTAGTTCTGTTCTGTGGAAATGAGGAGTTTTACAAGTTAGTGTCTGAGGATATTTGCCTTAGACTGAAATGTTGGCCACTTCCATTTTGAGGGTGCCGTATTTATTACTGACTTTTTGTTGCTGTTAATTATTTATGGCCTGTTGATATTTTTTCATCCTTGAAAAAATTCCTTTCCCACATAAAAGCATCCAACATAAGTGTTAAAGACATTTAATGAATTAATGAGTTGCAGGAGTACTTCAGATGTTTTTCTACGTTATGTAATAAAACTTGCAAAAAAGAAAAATTAACTTTTTTCATTCTGCAAAATTGGCATTATTTATCATGCACCTAGTATAAACTGCTGTAAAACTGTGTTAAAAATTTCTCCTTCCTCCCAATTAGAAATTGACATAATTGAGCAAGATTTAGAACCCAAGATTTTCTTGGTTTGAAACTTAATGGCTAAAATCGGTGTCCTGGGGTTCGCTCAGTCATGTCCATTCATTTCATTTTGGGGCACTGCTCCACGGACAGGTGCTCAGTAGATCTTCAGGATAAGCCCAGAGCCGGTCTAATGGCTAGTTAGCTGAAAGTCTGATGATTTAGCTACTGGAGAGGGCTATGAATAGCCTAACTCCCAAATGAATAAGGTGAGCTTGGCCATCTATCTGAATTAGACTGTGTGCTAGGCCTAGAGGGTTACAGAGTCTGGAAAGTTTGATCACCTTCTGCAACTCTGAATGTCGTGGTGAGGATTCTGGATTCTGGAATGCAAATCTACATGCATCCTGGAAAATGTCTCTGATCTTTACCTAGGTGTTCAGGTGATGCTGATTTCTTTTGGTATTCTTCAAATAAGCCAATCTTGTTTGATTTACTCCAATAAATCTGTACCTGCCTTCCAGCAGCTAGAACCTTCTTTTGGACAGGCAGGATCTGGGTCAGCTTTGACTAAATAACAGCTTTTTCCTTTCTTCTCACCTGCTTCCTGTGGATTTGCCTGTCTCTGCCTAGAAACCCTACCTTTCTGGAAGAAGACCCTGACCCTCTGCCCTGGTTTTGCACACCTTTCCCTCCAGAGAGCAGTTCCTGGATTTCCACGCTCTTCAGCTGATGGCTAGGTTTGGATGTCAGAGAATGACTGCCAGAATCACCAGGATACTTATTCACCTGACTCCCAGGATCATAGTCTCCTGGACCCCTTACACCACGTCCTACTGGTCAGGCAGGCCTCTCCAGATATCAGAATCAGAGGGAGCCATCTTAGAATTCAGCGTGTTAGGACAATCTACTGTCAAGTGCCTGACGGGCTCCAGACAGGTAACCCCGTGGGTCAGTTGTCAGACCTCTCTACCTGCTTCAGGAAGTCCTCCTCCTCAGGCTCTGCCACCAAGGTTTCTGCATACCTCACACCTGAGCCCACCCGAACTATGACAGCCCAGGGAGTCAGTCACTCCAGGCTTCACTTGGGCCTCCTAATCTCACGAGAAAGTGGATTATTGATTTTTGTTCTTATTTGCTATATATATATAAAATCTGTGTCATTCTTTGTCACTCCATGCTGATAGTCTCAATGTTCTCTTTTCATTTATGTGGCTTCTATAGTGGACTCGAACATTTTCATTTTCTTTTCAATGAAATTATAAAATAATCATTTTACCTTACTAATGTCTGAAAAAAAATTTCCCCCTCACTTCTATGAACAAAGTTATTAGAAAGAAGAAATGAGCTGCTAGTTTACTTCATTTACCATCCCCTCTCTGTTCCTTCTGGCCTGTGGGTTGTACCTTACTTGCCCGAATCCCTTCCAAGACATGGTTATTTTACAGATAGTCCTCAAGTTCAATTTTCCAACTGATTTTAATTTTAAATAATGTTCTGAACTTTTTAATCTCTCTTTGGTTGCCTTTTTTCAGTCTTCACTGTTTTCTGTGTTATTTTTAAATTGTAGATTTTTGTCAGCAAATTGTGTTAAGTCTTCTAAGTGTTGAAATAGTCTTCTCCATTTAGGACAGTGGTCTTCAGCTCTGAGTGTTTGTAGCTCATTTTGAAATAAAACATATGTGGCCTGTCACTTGAGGGCATTTAAAAAGTCAAGGTAATGGCAACCATGTCAACAAGAGCTTTAAAGTATCGCTGCTACAGTAGAAGGCTACTGTAGCCTTCAGTAGCTAACGTATGCTAACGTATGAATCACAGTGCTAACGTATGAATGATCAGTGCTAACGTATGAATCACATGCTCATCCCTCAGAGCTCATTCTCAGGTGGGTAGGACAGTGCTGTGAATCTAAGAGCCCAGAGTTTTATAGCTTCCCATAAATATGCAGTCTTTTTGTGGGATGGCTTGACTTACTACTCTTGACCTTAGATTCAAAGAAGGTAGTACCCCTCTCAGCTCAACATCCCTTCTGCCAAACGTTGTTGTAGCTGCAGGTTTATTCAGTTGTAGCAACAATGAATTTTACACACCAGGCAGGAAAGGAGTCATAGGAAACATTCTATGCACACAGTTGAGAACCACTGTTGTATAAGGGAAAACAAGCTTTCCCAGATCCTGAGTAAATAGTGATTGTCTGCGGCTTCTGTAGATGTTCTTCCCAAGCCCATCTCTGCTGTTAAATCTGAGGGCAAAGGTTTTAAGTCACTGTCATCTCTCCTTTTCTTCTTGAAAAGGAACCAGTCATCATCAATGAGTGGAACAAAACCAGTCAAACCCAGTAATGGGTTTGGAGGAAGAACTTAGAACTACAGAAAGGGGGAGAGGATGAGAAGAATGTACCCTGATGTTAGAAACTGCCCTACCTGTTTTCAGAAGCTGTATTCCCCCATGGATAAGGCTGAGTAAGAGGCCTTGGGACCATAAGCCACCAAGGAGATAAAGCTTATCTTCCTGGTAGGGGTACTGCCTCTGCCCATTTCACTTTATCCTGCTTGGCCCCAGGCTGGTGACTGGTTAGCCACTGACGGGTAAGATTCCTCAAGGGAGGGACAACCTAAGACAGGCATGGGGTCACAAAGGGGCCCCACAGGGAAGGACTTGCGGGGCTATAGAAAAAGGGGGTGATGGACCCTTGCCCCTCAGCTTTGACATAGCCTGAGTCCTCACTCTATCTGCAAGAAGTCTTCTAATCTCTTGGTTGCCTTACTTCCTCTGCCTGACTTAAGTCTGAAACGATGCCGGAAGGCAGTGCAGCCCTGTGCTGGAAAGGGCAGGTGACCAGGCTTAAGAAAGAATACATAAAATCCTGTGAAACCTGCTTTGCTAAGAATGCTCTCAATTTTCTGATAAGGGTCTGAGCAGGAAATGAATTTTGTTTCCCAAAGTTTTGTTGCCCTTTAGCTAACAGTCCCTGACTCAGAATAAGCCCTTGTAATTCTCTGTATGCTATCTATTCTTTGATCTTTACTGCCTGACAATGATTGCTGAATTTTACCTGTATTCCTGTGCAAACTGAACCCAATAAAAGCCCACTGAAGAAAAAGTTCCTGGCCTTTTTCCTTTGAGAGATTGGCCACCTTTACTACCCAAGCAGATCACATCTTGGTAGACTTATTCTCATCTGGGCAGAGCCCCCCCACACTCTATGGTGTTGAAATAGAATTGAAGTTGGAGGTATCAGTATGTAATTAGTTTGTGTGCATACCCATGTGAGTACATGTATCTGTGTATGTCCATGTGAGTGTGTGCATGCAAGTATGTAGCTGTGTGTGTATGTGCTAGCTCTGTCCTCTGACAGTGCCTAGCAGTGATGACATACTAGCAGCAAACATACTTGGTACTCAGGTTTTGGTCTGTGCAAAAAGAAACCATGGGTCCTTGGAGAAAAGCCTGATTCCAGGGTTAGGACATGGAAAGCACAAGGTGAGCATGGAATATCTTGCACCAGAAAGTAAGGAAGTGCTCAAAGAATGATGGAAACATGTCAAATGGATATAGGGCCGGGTTGAACCCCCTCTTCCTCACCAAATCTGGGCTATTTGAGTACTAAAACAAGATAATAATGAATTATGGAAAAAAATAAAATTCCATAAGTTTGTACTAATATAAACTATTAAATTTATTATTAAGGAACAAGAGAAAGCCCTTCTGACAGTAGGTCAAAGTTAACATTACCAATGTTGAGATAAATCAGTGCCATCT